CCATATGCATGAATAGAGAAATTTTTGCGAAAAAGAGGAATTTCAGCGAATTGCTTTATCATCACATGGCAGCGCTCCATTTCGTCGTAATTTTTAGTAAACAAATGAGGTTCAAACGAGAGTAAAATGTAATTTTTAAAATAAAGATTTTTTAGGTAATAAACCTACCAAAAGTGTAAAATGTGGGTTTATTTAAAAGTTTATAGTGTAAATTAATTAATTTAAAGTGAAAAATGTGAATAAAGTGTGTTTAGAGTGGTGAAATAACCACTTGAAATGTCCGAATTTTGCAAATTTTTGAACTTTGAGGTCGAATATCTCCTAARCTAAGCGTTTGCGGTACCTATAACCCTATATATTTTTTGATCAGGAGAACCACTTTCCAACGGTACCTTCAAATCGCGGCGCCAAAGAAATCGGAATTGTGCCAAATAAAGGCCTGGGACTTTTCGGTTACCTATAATGATGTTAAAGAATCACTGGAAGAGTCTAGTTTTAGAACGAAATCAATATTCAAACTAGAATTGATCATCACATCCGATTAACAATTTAAAATACATATCTTCTCCACCACAGAATCACCGCTGAGGAATCACGTAAGAGAAATGGTAAAGTACAATGTACAAACTGCCAAGAGTATGGACACACGAAACAATATTGCAAATTTAATAATGCAATGTCTGTGCGGTATGTGGTGACCTACATCCTACTTCAAAATGTACTCTCAAAGAAATAAGTAGTTGTGGGGGAAATCACATTGGAAAATATATGTATATAATATGTTTTCAAGCTTACCCAATATATGACACATTTAATGTTTACAATACAAAATATAATTCAAGAGATAATCAAAGCTCAAAACCAAATATTCCACACTGAAATGTATATAGAGTGTCAAAATTCTACCAAACCCAAAGTACACGAACCWCTAGACAACTCCGACATGCTACACGAAACTTGGGTGAAAATTGGACCCGAAATGACGAGGAAAATGCTTGACTTGAGTCTTTTAAGTCTTCACCTTCTGAAATTAAAAGAACTTAATATAGAAAAGTCGTCAGGACATGATAATATTACCCCAAAAATGCTGATTGAGTTACCAGATATTGCGGTAGAAGTGCTTTCTTTGCTCTTCAATACTTTTATGATTTTCGGATACTATTCATTTTAATTGAAAAAGTCGCAGATTATCTGGATAGTTAATGATGATCTTGAAAAACATAGCACGATAGAGCAAATGAATAGAATTACTAACCAAATAAGAAAAGCATTAAACACAAAGCGTACTGTTCAGCTAGTATTTCCAGACGTGGCTCGGGCTTTTTGATAACGCAAGAAGGCCTTTTATATACAAATAAGATTAACAAAGTGTTGATTTTAGAATTGTATAAAACATTGGAGTCTTATTTAAAAATAAACAATTTATGGTCAAAATAGGATATTTTACATCTGATGAACGCCCGATAAGGGCTCGTGTATCACAGAGCAGTGTTTTAGGCCGAACTATATATGTACATGCATCTTATATACAGCAGATCTTCCAACACTTAATAATGTATTGACTTCAACTTTTGCGAATAACACAGCTTTAGTGAGCTGTAACAAATGCCACATAATAGCATCAAGAATATTAACGGAGCATTTAAGTTCTATCGAAAAATGGCAGTTAACTGGCTTAAAATGTAAAGTGTAAGCATGTTACATTTTCGCTAAGACAAAAATTTGGCCGGCAGTTAAAATGAATATTTTAGTACCCCAAGCGAATGAAGGAAGTTATCATGGCATTCACATAGATAGAATACTTACGTGGATAAAATAATTTGCATGAAGAAAAGAACTGCAATTTAAATAGGCTTCAAAATAAAAACTCTGAACTTAGACAACAACGTTCTTTTATATAATGCAGTCATAAAGCCGTTTTGAGTGTATGGGATTCTTTGCAACTAATATTGATATAATACATATGTAGGTTCCAATTTAAAATGCTTAGAACAATCACTTKTTCGCCATGGTACATATGTCATGAAAATATCCATTAAGATCAGGAATTCCACGATGGTAAAGAAAGAAGTAGAGGACAGCAAAATTAAATATTTATCTAAACTCCGAGATCACCATAACCCATTGGCTAATGCTTTAGTACATTCCTGCGATCAAACACACCTAAAAAGAAAAGATATGCCTGCGTACTAACAAGCAACGCTTCATCAAAACAGCTTAATCACTTGAGCTTTTCTAGTTTTTAAATAGTTATAAGATTTTATAACATATTATATTATTAGGCTTTAAAAAAAAAAGTAGATCCAATAAGTAAGGAAATATTGAAAACAAACGACAGGAATATCTCGACTTTTCGGACTGACATATCCGTTAATAATTTTCTATTGGCTCTTGACAGCTCAATCTGGCCATATGGTGACTTTGTTCGGGAATTCGAGCATAAAGTTGATGAAGCCAATGTAGTTGTTGTTAAAATACAAACATGTTGACACAAAAAACTTATTTATAATAATATGCTAAGTATTTATTATCAAAATGATGGAGGTCTTAATACAAAACTAACTGAAGAGTATTTAAATATAATTAGTAATTTTAAAATTATCGTATATATTTGTGACCTTTGACCTCGAATAAAAACCAACGTACAAGTGGGGTCGATGGGGACTTTTGACATGTTATTTGTAATGATGGGTCTAAGGCCTGTCCAAAAATCCAGCTTGTTGGGAACTAATGCAAGCTGTAATGTCTATTTTGACATTAATAAGGTGCTGTCTTGTAGTGTCTGGTTGATTTACAGTCTTCACTTGCCTCTGAAGAAGTCGATGTTCTTCATGCAGATTTCATTGAGTTTAAGTGTATACGAAATTGTGTTAATAGCGGTCATATTTACTCAACTTTATCATATAGTATATAACGCATCAACCGGTCTTATCTATCTATACGGTAAGTTTTTAGATGTGGTTTACGCTGATAATGCTTCMATATTCTCTGTTATCAGATGTAATCCATTGCTTCTGACACAGGACTCGTATCATCCTGCTTTGGAAATTAATATCAAAATCTTAGCCAACTAATTTCATGATAATACAGGTACATGAGACCATTGCTGTCGGCTTAAATTTGCGAAAGCTAATTTTAAGAAGATTGATTGCGAACTTTCTAATGTAACTTGGCCAGATTACTGTGGCAATATTGAAGTTAGTGTCTCTCATTGTGTTGTTACTCAAAGAATAAGTTCTAATTTGTGGTTTTTGAGAGGGTTATGTAAATTAAAAAATAAAAAGTTCCGAGCATTTAAGGGGTATTCTACTCTACAATCTCAAGAAATTGAGTGAATAAGTCTTCAGTCAGCTTTTAATGCGTTCACTACTTTTTAGATACTTTGCACAACTTTGGACTATCTGTCCATCCGTCCGTCAGTCCATCCTTACAAGCTGTAACTTGAATAGAAATTGAGATATRTTTATGAAACTTAATATGTGGTTTCCTTAGTACAAAAACAAATTCAAGTTTTTAGATGGGCGTAATCGGATCTCTTAAAACAGTAAAGCTACAACAACCAAATTCACCTAGCACGAAGGAATCCTCCCGATGAAGCGAAAACGGACAAAAGCGATTGAAACCCCCGCTCACTCCCCATATAACGGCGCTGTTAAAACTACTAAAAGCGCAATAAATCAATAACTAAATACGCCAGAAACGTAAAAGTTTGCTGTTGCGATGGTATCAAAAGGCTTTACAGAGACGGGTGTAGAAATTGGACCGACCACTTTTGTGTGATATCCCATATCTCGGGACAAAATTTGGAACGTGGCATTCTTTTCAGTACCACGATTTTCGAACATCCGGCTGATTTTGTATAATGACTATGTACAATGATTTTGGTTTTTCTAACAAATMTTTCTGCCAAATATTTATGGAGGTTAGTGTATAAGTTATATACCTTTATGGTGTATCTATATAATTGTTTAGATTCCGATTCTTTAGTTGATGGTATTTCTAAGGTAAGGTATTTCCCTGTCTTTGATTTCTGCAAGTTGCAAGAGTATAAAATCTTGGGCTACACCCGAACTTAGCCCTTTTTTACTTGTGTAATATACAGTCTTAACAATATCCAAAGTATTTCTTTGCTTTTAATCCCATCAAGTTGCAATTGTATAAAAACTACGGTTATACCCAACCTTAGTCCTTATTTCTACTATATTTTTGTAGACACCGCAAATGAGTCTATAGCCGAATGCCTTTATTTATTTATTATATATATATATTAGTATGTACTTAAGTATGTGGATATATATAAATTCAGCATATGAAATTCAAGATCTGAATAATTAGATACGTTTTGGTTTGAATGGTTTGAACATGTTATATAGTTTTTGTACTAATAATAAATGTAGGTTTGTGCTTACCTCAATTTCAGTCATAAGGTCCTTCTTTTCGCTTTCAGTAGCGTTTTCCTTTAAAGTTTTCACAGCCACAGTTGTAACCCCTTCTATACCTGTAAATTGATAAAATATAAAGAAATAAGCTGATACGTACATACGTTTATTAATAATTGGTTCCAATCACTTGAATTTAATTAAACCACGAAATTGTTGACAATTTTGTAATTATAATATAGTTTCGCTCGGGAGCTGCTAGTAGATGCCCACACACATTACTTTTAAGGACTTGCCCATCTGTGAACATAGCACCCTCACCATTATCAATAGGCAAATAAGGGATATTTTAGTTCTAGTATAAAACTAACAGTGACACACTTTTTATAACGCTTTGATTAGTTTCCCCTGCATAAATGTATGTGCGTAACTTTTTCCAATTCGTCTGTAACTTGAGTTAAGCTTGAAATAACTTGATGAAAGTTGCGTCACATAYAATAATTAGCGGCCCTCAAGACTGGTCGGTGTTGCAGATATGCGCAATGGCACCACTGCCACACTCACAAAACATATAAAGTGTCATAACTAAGCACTAAATTAAGATACCTAGTTATTATTTGATATAGGGAATCGCGCATTCCCACACTAATTTAATGTACATAAAACCCTTTATCTCAAGAACTAACTTACCAATTTAAACCAAACCAAAATATGTGGGATTACTAGAGGTGTTCTACTTTATATGTAGATTTTTGAAATAGTGTTTTAAGTCAACAGAATGGGCTAATTTCTTTCCTTTTTATGTAAAACTGTTTAAAAAAAAATTTGGGACAATCGAATGATGGGAAGACGGCGCAGAAATGTTTTAAAATTAAAAATTGCCTTCCTATAGGAAAAAACAAGTTTTATGTATTCAGGTATCAATTTTTCTTTTAGTGTATTTATTAAATGAATATGTATGCTTTAATAGGTCTCAACTAGCACGATATAAAGAATAATTTTAATAATATTTTGTTCTTATTTTGAGTGAAAAAAYGGTAAATAATATTTTTTTATCGCACCATCGTCGTAACTGTCGATTGCTCTATTTTTGCAACATGAACCAGCAATATTTGCAAAAATAAAAAACGAATGACTGCAGACTTTGGTAACGGTATTTTTGGGCAGCGAAATAAAACAGTAAATGGACTGTGTTCTTTTTTCAATAATTGTCACTCTCGTTTGTTTGGCATTTGAAACCAGATGTGTTAATTTGTGCGAAATTGTGATTATTTAATAAAAAAAAGAAATGAGTGAATTACCAGCAACTGCGAGTACATTACATATACAAACACAACAACGYACGGAACAAGTTGTGAATGTTGAACTAATGTTAAGAATTTCTCATCAGATAACCGTAGTAAATAAGAGATCTGATGCTCAGAAAAAAATTATTGAAGACTTTTCTGCAATATTGGATAATTTGTTTGACATTGCTCATAGAGATGCCTTACAAAACATGCGTATTAGCAAGGAATTTTTAGTTTTAAAACGTCGTCCCATCATCCGATTGTCCCCAAATTTTTTTTAAACATTTTTACATAAAAAGGAAAAAAATAACCCATTCTGTAAACATAGAATACATTTTGAATTTTAAGGACARGTCTAGGGATTATCCAACTATTCCTATCATACACAATGAGCGGAATGAATCGGAGCACAACTACGTCTACTTTCTATATAACTGTACTTTAAATTCCATCTGATTCTTAATCAAACACTGATATATCCGTAGAACTCTTAAGGTATTTAATGCTATTTCCAAAAATTGTCGAAATGGAACTACATCTTTTCAGAGATGCAGACACCATATACCTGGATCCTATTGCATTTGGCTGATTTTATAAGGTTTAACTTAGCTTCGCATCTATGTTTGTAACTTTTTTCAGTGGTACTGAAACTGATTGGCACTGACAAAACAATCAAAGGTTTGATAGGTACTGCAAAAAAAAAAAAAAAAAAAAAAAAAAAAAAAAAAAAAAAAAAAAAAAAAAAAAAAAAAAAAAAAAAAAAAAAAAAAAAAAAAAAAAAATAGCCCTAAAGCTATGCCGCAAAAGGCACTATCGTTCCCTGCTGTAATTTGAATAACAAATTTATCCACGCTTTCTCTTAAAAAGTGCTAGGAAGTGCAAGGCCAAACTTTAAAGGCGTTTTTCTCAAAATGGTGTTTTCAACGCCGGTGTTGGTCCCATTACTAGAAAACGGCTGAACCGATTAGCCTCGAATTTTAAGACGAACTTCTTAATTATATTTTTTAATAATTAAAAAAAGGACTGATTGATGTGTAGAAGGTCACGCAAGTGAGGAAAGTTCTATGATTTTCATTCGTTTGGGAATGGCCAGAAACGATTATTTTACATTTGGCTCAAGCAGCTCACGACTTCCGGTCTTTGACAAAGTATCGTCTGGGTAGCCAGAAAACATCCATTGGAAGGCGAGCTAAAGTGAGAAGGCGAAATATTCCCTACATAGGGTTGTGCGCTGGGTTTGGGACCCGCCACGTAAAAAACACCCCCAATGAAAGGAAATAAACAGCCTCGGATGAGAGACCCTCCTTTTGATAACGACCACGGCAAACGCACTAAGGAAAACGATTTAAGGGTATGCTCCGTCGTGTTCGAAAATTCTACGAAAAGGCGATTAACAAAAAGTTTGAAGGTCGGAACATACTCTTGTACAACCCCCCGAGCATACTTAAATTATGGACGATGTAGCAGACGTTCCATTGCCCGAGCTTGAAGAAGTTCGAATAGCAATTACCTGTCTGAAGACAACAAAGCAGCGGGGACCGATGGATTGCCTGCCGAGCTATTCAAATACGGCGTCGAAGAACATGCCTATATTGAAATTTAAATGTGCTTTGCTTAATCCCTAAAAAGGGAGACCCCACAGTCTGCGCCAACTACTGTTTGATAAGACTCCTAAATTTCGAATACAAGATTCTACCGAGCCTATTGTGTGAAAGACTAAAGCCCACCGTCAACAAACTGATTGGACCTTATTAGTGTGGCTTTAGACCTGGATAATCAACACCATGCGCAAAATCTTAGAAAAGACACGTGAGAAGAGAATCGGCCCACAATTCCTTTCGTCGAGCTGTTTTTGACCGCACGAAAAGGAGCTGCCTTTATGCCGCGATAACTGAACGATGAACTTCGAAGTTGTATATATATTTCGTCTACCTTTAAAGCAACATTAACTGTAACAACAATGTCAGCCTCGAAATCCAACGTAGAATAAATCTTGCCAACAAGTGCTACTTTGGACTGAGTAATCAATTGAGAAGTAAAGTCCTCTCTCGACGAACAAAAACCAAACTCTATAAGTCACGCATTATTCTCGTCCTGCTATATGKGGCAGAGGCATGGACGATGACAGCATCAGCGGAAGATTTATGGTCAATTGCTCGTTGGCTATGGCGAATATGGTATTCGATGAAACAATAAACTGTATGTATGTATTCCTTCGATTTGCTTTACTAGGCTTTGTGGTCAATTGCTCGTTGGCTATGGCGAATATGGTATTCGATGAAACAATAAACTGTATGTATGCATTCCTTCGATTGGCTTTACTAGGCTTTACATTACTTTAATCGCAAAACGTATTTTTTGAGAAGAGCTCCCGGAGATTAGCTGTAGTTTCTTTCCAAATATAAATCTTTTTTTAAATACCAAATCTTAAAATACAGTTCAAAAACACCATAACATGTGCACAAATTTTTGGATCAATAAGTGTAAAAGTTATATTAGAAAAAGTTTTGGAAATTTCGCTTATTTTCGGCCTTCTAACTGCACAAGTGTATAAGCCCTTAAACTTGAAAGCGAAATATAAATATGGTTTAAAAATATTAAAAAACACGATCTTAAATCGTATCAAACTAAAATGAGAGAAATAATTCCTAATATAACCTGACAACCATAATAAACCAAATGTACTCTTGTTTTGCTGAAAAGAGCGTGAGTGGTTTATGCCTTATTTTTCGTATATTTAGCAACCCACGCAGTTTTCAGCGTAACAAGAGTAGCTTTCGTTTATTCTTACTGTAAGGTTTGATTAGATTTTTCAAACACACACAGGTCGTCCCCCACAGTGTAATCCCATACATTCAAATTGGCTTTAAGACCGCATTATATAAAATCGCTCTGTTGTCTAGGCCAAGTTTAGAATTTTTATTTAAAAGCCAATTTAAATTTGCAGCTCTAACCTTCATTCATGTTATTTTACTTGCACCTCTACAGCAATAATTGGTAACTCAAATAGCATTTTTGGGTAAATATTACCATGTCCCGGTGACTTTTTTGGAATAAGTTCCATAATGGTTCCAATAATTTCAGAAGGTGAAGTTTTAAAGACTCGAGCGGCACTTTAGTTGTTTTGGATTAAGATTGACAATTAAAAGTTGTTCCTTGGCAAATTAGGTTGAAGTACCTTTTCTAGATGACTTGCAAAACTATTAGCCTTTTCCTAGTCATTTCGGGCCCAATTTTTACCCAAGTTTCATGTAGGCATGTTGGAGTCAGTTGGGGGCTGAGTGGATGGGCAATGACGTCTTAGTGTTGCTAGACACCTGGGTTAGTTCTKATATCACTGACTTCTGTTATGCTTTCGTCAATATCTCTCCCTGTATTTATTTTGTACTCAATATTAATGTGGCTACTCACCTATTTTTTATATTTTAGCCAATTCGTTTTATAAGATGTTAGGCCCACTTTTAGATTAATGGGTATGGGTTGTTCACATAGCTTTATTAGTACTGGAGAGTGATCAGAAGATAGGGCAGTACATGTATCAGCAGTTATGTGCGATTTATCTATATTTTTGATCACAATATGTTGGCTTACCAGAATATATTATTTCAATGTTATTGTACCTATTTATAACATCCTTTCGGATTAATTAGACGTGATCCCCAGTACGTGTGTTTTGCGTTATAATCTAAACCTGCTGGAAATCTTTGACATAGTGTTCCAAAAATGTCTTTAAATTCGCAATCGGTAATTTTAAAACAAGTTTGACAGTATTTGGCCATCAGTTTTAAGTTTTTATAGTTATTGTTGTAGCTGCTCTGTAGCATACGATT